AATGTTTTAAATGGCACTGGAAGAATAGGAGTTAGGAAGTGTAGGGAATAGTGTTTCCAAAGGAAGGCTACATTATACTGACTTGTATTTAGCAGACTTGAACTCGTAAGATACTTTTGTTTTAGCTCATATCTATTTATTAAGCTTGAAAAGTTATTTTTTTCTTTCTGATGGTTGATGCCTATAGATGACAGTTCAGATATTCTATCATTGGACACTTTCTTTAGTCGACGTGTGAGGGATTGTGCTGTGCCCTGGGCGGGGTTAAATTCTACTGACATTCTTATTTAATCTTCAAGATAGTGCCCTGAGATAGATAACTGTGTTTTTTTTTTTAAAGATTTTTTATTTATTTATTTGACAGAAAGAGACAGTGAGAGAGGGAACACAAGCAGGGGGAGTGGGAGAGGGAGAAGCAGGCTTCCCGCTGAGCCAGGAGCCCGATGCAGGGGTCGATCCCAGGACCCCCTGGGATCATGACCTGAGCCGAAGGCAGTCAACGCTTAACAACTGAGCCACCCAGGCACCCCTAGATAACTGTTGTTAAATCTACTTTACAAGTGAGGAAATAAAGATTTTGAAGGGTCAAGTAATTTGCCCAGGGTCACATGGCCTGTTAATTTAGCAAAGCCATGACACCAACCAAGGGCTTTTGTTCTCTACTAATATACCACACTATGTTTACCAAGATAATCAGTGACTCATGCTGTGGTGTTACTATACCATATTAGCACAGTGGAATGTAATGTGAGTCTAGCGGTTTGGACTAGATTTGGGGATATATAAATTCTAATCTCTGCTCTTAGATTTGGAGTAAGTCGTTTAATGTCTCTGGGTCTATTTTTTTCATTTACTTGAAAATTTTTAGACCTAAACATTGTTGTACTGTGGCTCCATCTCTACTCTGTAAAGCAGAATCTTGGATTATAAAACAACTCTTGATTTATATATGTGAGAAATGATTTATTATAATGTAAGGGTATTTCTACAATATTTGAAGTCTCTTGGTTTATGTTTTTTAAATTCCTTAGTTTCTAATAGAAAATTTAGTAATTCATGACGGGTTGGGGACCTTTTTGTACATTTTCTAGCTTTCATGGGATCTTATTTTATAGAGCCTGAAAAGATCATTTGAAGTTTTGCTCAACTATTCGCAGTATAAGTTACCTCTGGAGTTTATAGTCCACATTAACTTTGGTCTTTCTCTGGAATTGTTCTGAGTGTTCTGCTTTATATGTTCAGTATTTAATATTGAGAGATGGTGTCTTAGTCTGCTTTTTTATAACCCCTGTATATGGAATACTTGAGGCCATCATTGTCATGTGGACTTGTATCTTTTATTTGTGAAAACTCAGGAACAGCTACATCTTATTTAAAATATTTTATATGGATGGTATCCTGTGTATCAGGATATCTAATAAAAGTTGCAGTTTCGACCTAGGGATAAATTCTCTTAAGGCCGTTTCAGAAAAGTCTCTACTGGACCTGGGATTTGAATAAGATTTAAGTAATAAAAAAGAAGTTGTTCTTTTACAGAATTCGTTTTAAGCACTCCAGAAAAGATTAGAAAATAAGGCTCTGTTTGAGTCATCTGCTTAAGAATCCTCTATGAGGGTTGCACTGATATTTTACTGCTAGGGTAACTGAAAGAACTAGTTTGCCTATCTATATTCCTTACCCTTTTTTTTTTTTTCCCATTGGACATAGCTTGGAAGGAGTATGGTTTTTTTTTTTTGTTATCCACTTTATTGAGGTTTGATTGACATGCAAAAAGCTGTACATATTTAACGTATGCAACTTGATGAGTTTGGAGGTAAGTATTCACTTGTGAAGCCATCACCATAATCTATGCAATAAACATATTCATCACCTTCAAAAGTTTCTTCCTACCCTCTTTGGAGAGGATTCCACTCAGTAATTTCTGTCCATTCCAGGTCACAAGTAGGTGTGAAGCTGATGAATAATTGTTGCCATGTTTCCCAGGTTGTGAGTGCAGAACATGTGGGTTTTATGTGGCGTAATAACAGCTTCTTAGTCATAGATTAGCAGGAAATCATTCCGTCAGCAAGTATGAATGTCTGTTACATGCCATGTATTACTTCAGTGGCTGAAGGATTCCTCAGTCAGAAAAATTCCTGCCTTCATGGAGCTGACATTTGGATGGGAGGAGGGAGGCCAGGAAACGAAATAAGGAAAAAAAAATAAGGAATGTGGGGTTGGAATTTGGGGGTGACTAGTAGGAGGAGACTGCTATTTTAAATGGAGTGTGAAGTTAAAGCTGAGGTTGATAAAGTGAAGGAGCCATGCAGATACCTGAGGAAAGAATATTTGAGTGACAGAGAGAGTAGCATATACAAACACCTTGAAACAAACCTGTTTGACATATTCCAAAGAATAGCAAAGAGAGTCTGATGTGGCTAGAACAGTGAGCAAGGAGGAAGAATAGATGAAGTCAGATTATCAGATCGAATAACATTTTGTAGTTTGTATAAGGACTTTGATTTTAACTCCAAGAGAAATTAGAAGTCACATGAGGGTTGTGAGCAGAAGAATAACATGATTTATGTTTTTAGAAGGTCATTGGTGGTTCTGTGATCGTGGGCCAGGAACAGAAACGGACCAGTTAGGGGGCTGTTGGAATACTCTGAGCGATGATGGTGGTTTGGACAAGGCTAGTAGTAGTGGAAGAGGTGAGCAGGAGTTAGATTCTGGGTACATTCTGGAGGTAGAGACAACAGAATTTCCTGTGGGATTAGTATCAAGGTGAGGGAATAAAAGGCATTACAGGCTTTTTTGGTCTTAGCTACTGGAAGGATGGAGTGGATGTTTGCTCATTTGGAGAAGACTGCTGGGGCAGACTTAAGGGCAAAGATTAGGATTTCTGTTTTGGACTTGGTAAGTTTGAGTTGCCTAGTGGGTATTCAAGTGAAAACATGGCTGAGTATAGGACTCTCGTATCCAGGGGAGAGGGCCAAACAGTAAATAAATATTGAGGTTAACTTAAGCCATGAGCATAGATGAAATCAGCTTCACCTGAAAACTGAGTTGTGGCTAGAAAAAGAACTTCAGGTTTGGAGGTTGCTGTGAGGAGAAAGAACTTGTAAGCAGACTGACAAATAGGAAGTAGAGGAATGGGAAGAAAAACAAGAGATTGTAGTGCTTGGAAGGCAACTGAAGAATCTTTTTCAAGGAGTAAGAGTGATAGCTCTTTCAGTTGCTGCCAGATAGGTCAAGAATGATGAGAACTAAGACTGACCATTTAGATTTAGCAAGATGGAAGTCACCGGTGACCTGAGTAGTTTCAGTGAAACAGTAGAGATGAAAGCCTTATTGTCTCAGGTCCTGTGATTTTACTGTAAGTGGAAAAGACAGAGATTGGATGGTACTGGAGAAATGGTGGGTTTGTGAGGATTTGTTTTTAGGATGGGAAACTGATGATTTTGAATGCGGTTGGAAATTGTCTAGCAGAGAGAAAAGAATGTGATGATGCTGAGAAGGGAGATTGATAAAGGGAGGTCCTTGAAAAGGTGAGTTGGGATGGAATTAAACTTCATTCTGTATAGGTATCACCTGGGCTCACAATGCAGATCATAGTTCTGTAGGTATGGGTGGAGCCTGAAATTCTGCATTTCTAATAAGTCCTTGATGATGCCTATGTTTCTGGTCCCGGTCTATAATTTGAGTATAAGAACTTGTTACTTTGAGCACAAGAACATTAAAATAATATATTGATAAATAATCATATAGATTGGTGGATATGCTTGGGGTTTGTAGAGTGTGTCTTCAGGTTGTTTCTGTTTTCTCAATGGAACAGGAAAAAAGTCATTATCCTACAGTGAGGAAGGAGGAGATGGTGTAAAATCATCTAGGAAGGTAGAGTCAGTAGTCTAGAATGTAGGATTATGGGGTTGTACCCAGGGCCCACTGTGGTTAGTGGTTATGAATTTAAACTGAGACGTATTGAATGTGGGTGTATGTGTGTGATTCATTTACTTTCAGCTACACACGTGGGTGCATGTGAAGAGTAGGTGGGTAGATGGGGTTTAGAATGGCAAGTATTTTGGTGGGGAGAGGGGCAAGTGATTCAAGGTAGCTACAAATGATGGACTGTGGAATCTAAACTGGGAAAGGAAGAAAATAAGAACGGGTTAAACAAAATGTGGGGTGTTTTGGTTTGTTTTGTTTTTAATTGCAGGTCTTCTTCCAATCTTTAATTTGCTAAGGAGCCCTGTAAATCTTTTTTTTTTTTTTTTTTTTTTCATGTCCTCATTTTTTCTTTCCTTTTTTTTTTTTTTTTTTTTTTTTTTTAAGCTAAAAGGAAATATATATTCCAACCCCAATATATTCACCCTGAAGCACATTTTTTTTTTTTTTTTTTTTTTTTTTGTCCTCATTTTTTCTTTCCTTTTTTTTTTTTTTTTTTTTTTAAAGAAAGAATGTGGGGAGGACGGGGAGAGGGACAGAGGGAGAGCGAGAGAGAAACCTAAGCAGACTTCGTGCTGAGCGTGGAGCCTGACGTGGGGCTCGATATCACTATCCTGAGATCATGACCTGAGTTTGAAACCAAGAGTCAGAGGCTTAACTGACTGTGACACTCAGGCACCCCTTAAATTATTTTTTAAATCATGGAAGTCTTTCTTCAGGGTTTCTCTCTGAGCTTGTATTCTTCTAAATAAATTAAGGAAAAAGGTGTCTTATATTTTTGGCTAAAGCAAGTATTAACATTGGGGATTATGCTTTCATTTAAATTGGAGGGTTTTAATGCATATAAGAAAGGAGGGAGGTCTTAAAGGATTTTTAAAAAATTGTGTAAGCTCTAAAAACGATTCTTAAATGTATCCCTTTATTTTTGTTAAAACAGACTGTTAACATCCTTATAAGTTATGCAGATTTATAAACATAGCCATATAATAAGATAATTACGATATGGACAAATACAGAAAGATTTTCAACCATTGGTGTTTTTTTTTTTGTCTCTTTTTCTCTCTTGGATATTACAGATGACCATGGATGAAAAATATGTAAACAGCATTTGGGACCTTCTGAAAAATGCAATTCAAGAAATCCAGCGTAAGAATAACAGTGGTCTTAGTTTTGAGGAGCTCTATAGAAATGCTTATACAATGGTTTTGCATAAACATGGAGAAAAGCTCTACACTGGACTAAGAGAAGTTGTTACCGAACATCTCATAAATAAGGTATCCAACTTTAAAGGACTATTGCTAATTATATGGAATCTAGAAAATCCTTTATATACTATATTGTACTTTGACTAGAAGTATTAGTTTTAAAGGCTCCAGGAAGCCTATAGAAATAGTAATCAATCAATGGCTATATTATAAAACCTCTCTTAAAACTTAAATCAGCTAAATAACAATTTTTGATAATTGAGGGAAGATGAAATTTGTGATTTATGATATAAATACATTCTCTGTAGTCATAATTAAGGAAACAAACTTTCATTAGTTTACAAATGCTTGTTTATTAATGTATGAATTACAGATCATTATTTTTTCCTTAAAATGTTTAACCAGTCAGTCCATTTTATCTTTCTCTACTTTCTCTGTATATTTGAAAATAATAAAACTACATTGTTTAAAAAAAATACTATCTAGGAATTTATACCAGTTGAAAAAAAAAAAATTTTAACTGAGTTTTATAGTAAATGAATTTTTAAAAAAAAAAGATAAATTAGTGTTGGGCTATTAAAATTATAAAATATTTCTTTGGTTCTAAAAAGATGTTTTTGCTTTTTTAAAATAAATGTTTATATAGAGCAAACTCTTCTATTGCAAGTATGTCTTGCTTTAAGATTGTCAGATAAAATGTAAAATACCACAGATAAATAAAAACTTCTCAAAGTTTTTGTGTGGTATTAGGGTGTTCGTTTTTTTAAATTTTATTTTGAAAAAAATGGAAAAGTTGTACCAAATAGTACAATGATCTCTTGTATTGTAAATTCACCAGTTGTTGACATTTTGCCACATTTTGCTAATCTTTCTATTGATCCTTGTTATTATTACTATTACTGATATTACTATTATTGCTGAAGAATTAGAGAACAAGTTTTAAATTCATTTACCCTCAAATACTTTGGGATGTTTCTCCTAAGAACAAGGAAATTGTCTCACTTAACCAAAGAGTAATGTTCAAAAATCAGGCAGTTTAACATTAATATAATACTGTTATCTAATATAATCCACATTCAAATTCATCAGTTGTCCTGTGTAGCAGTGATGTCCTTTATAGCAGTTTGTTTTCTGATCCAGGATCCAATCCAGGATCACACACTCAGTTCCTCAGCTTCTTGTCTTTCAGCACATTGACATTTTTGAAGAGTATAGGTCAGTTGTTTTGTAGATTGTCCCTCGGTTTTTGGTTTGTCTGATTGTTTCCTCATGACTAGTTTCAGGTTATGCATTTTTGGCAGGAATAATACATAAGTGATGTTGTGTCCTCAGTGCATCACATCAGGAGGCACATGATGTCAGTTTATCCCATTATTGGTGATGTTAACTTTGATCACTTGGTGTCCGCCAGATTTCTCCACTGTGAAGGTACCTTTTTTCCCTTTGTAATTCATAAGTAATTTGTTCAGATATATTTTGAGACTGTATAAATATCCTGTTCCCCAAGAAACTTTCATGTGATGGTTCTAGCATCCATTGATGATTCTTGCATGAATCATTATTACTGTGGTGGTTACAAAATAGTTACTTTCTATTTCTACTATTCCTTCCATAATTTCTCTTACATGGGATTACATGAGCAGGTAGCTAGTATCTCACGAAGCAAGGTGATTGTGTTCTTCATGCAACTAACAGTTTCTTTAGTGCCTACTCTGCACAGCTTTCTAGGAAAATACAGTAGGTATACAGAGATATGATATCCCTTGTTTGTACTGTGATGTGAGAGATGATGCAGACATTTAGATAATAGTGTAAGGCATTATATAATTAAGTGGCAAATGAATTGAATAGGCAATAAATGGCTTAGGAATTCCAATGAGGGAGAGATTATCCTGGGCTGTAAGATTAAATGGGAAAGTATCAAATTGAACTGAGCCATGAGACATTTGGGATATAAAGGAACAATGTGGAAGGCATTCCAAGATTGCAGATGTCATGTGATTATACGGAAATAAATTGGGTACACTTAGGTGGCAAATAGAGTTTGATTGGGGTATATAATAATTTATGGGGATTAGTGGATTCTAATATAAAGGTGGTTTGGGAACAGACTGGAGAAAAACTTGAATGCCAAGCTAAGGAATTTGGGCTTAATTAACAGTTTATTGGAGGTTTTTAAGTGGATGATAATGTGACAATATTTTAAGAAGATTAGGATAAAAATGATATAAATGTAGAATTGGGAGGATGTTTGCTAGGAGCTGGGGAGGACCTGGAAAAATTTGAGTAAAGTGATAGGCTAGACATGAATGGACAGAGGAGATGACAGATACTGTTTTAGATAATAATTGGAGAATTTTACAGTTGGAAGATACCTTAGAAATCATTTTATATGTGAGGGAAATTGAGTGTGAGATCATCATAAAATGCTCACCTAGAAAATCTTGTGTATAGAGATACACAGGTTTAGGGCTTGAGCAGGAACTCAAACTGAAGATCAAGATTGGATGTTTGGTAGCATGTACACTGAGGAAAAAGTATTGGAGTTCAGAGAACAAAAATCCTAGAGCCAAAGGACGAATCTTCAAAAGCAAACTATGGTATGTAAGTGTGGGAAATGAAGAAGACTAATTTAAGAAACTTGGCATCAAAAGAAAGAAGAAATGCGAGTGCAAGAGTTTTGCTTAAAACTATTGAAGGAGAGATGATTGGACCAACTGAGTTCTTGGATATGGAGAGAGTATGGAATTGAGAACAGAGAAGTAAAGGTAGAATAAAGGCGTGCTCTCGTTTGCCAGAGGTTCTATAATGAATGATGGTAGTGGTCACAACTATTTTTTTCTTTTTTTAAAGATTTTATTTACTTATTTGACAGAGCATGCAAAACAGGGGGAGCAGCGGGGGAGAGGGGGAGAGAGAAGCAGGCTCTCCGAGGAGCAGGGAGCCCGATGCGGGACTCCATCCCAGGACCCTGGGCTCATGACCTGAGCCGAAGGCAGTTGCTTAATCAACTGAGCCACCCCGGTGCCACCCACAACTATTATTTAGCATTTCTATGTGCTAGGTTCGGTTCCAGTGCTTTTACCTGTGTTAGTGGTCACAACCTAATGAGCCAGATATGACTATTCTCTCTTTTACAAGTGGAGAAACCAAGGCACAGAGAATTAATGATTTGTTTAGATGCACATAGGTAGTAAGTGGCCTAACTGGAACAGTATTCGGGCAGTGTGTTTTCAGGCTGAGTCCTTGACTCCTCTGTAGATCTGCTCCTGAGGCATAAGGAATAGATCAAGATGCAATAAACACGATGAAATTGAGGGTGCAGGAGAGGCTTCGAGTAAATTGGCTCAGTGTTTCTAAAGCTGTAGTCCTTTAAATTCTAGTTCTTGGTTTATTTATAATTAAAATGAAGGAGCTAGCAGTAATATCTCCTGAGATTCTTTAGTTCTAAAACTATTACAAATCTAATAATTAAGCCATGCATCTTCTGAAAATGAGATGAAGAGACTTGGAGTAGCCCTTCTTGGGAATATACTAAGGAATTGGCAAGTGAGGAAAAAGATAGCTCAGTAGGAGTTGGCCTGAATGTGTGATTTGCCTTTTTTGTTTGTTTTTAGAAGCTTTGCTTTGCAGCTTGGGCACAGATGCAGAAAAAACATCTATAGTTATGTGCTGTGTTGAGAATTGGCTCATCCAAAAAGTGAGGAAAGGGGGGGGAGACCAGATTGGGAAGTCAGTGTTTAAGTGATTTTTGGACTCTGAAACATGGTTAGGTAGAAATTGAAGTCATGTGAACAATAATTCTGTGGTAACTATAAGAGCTTCAGCATATTTGTGAGTTGCTTAAAGTGGTCCCATATCTCAGGTTAACTGTTATTTCAAAATATAGGCAGTTCCCTGTATATAATACGTTGCAGAGAACATGTGTTCAAGTTAATTGTGCTAAAGAAATTATATACACTAAATTCTTTTTATTTCTGTTACATAGGCATTAGTCACTCATCACCAGCATCTGAAAATGTTCTTTAATTTTTTCTTTCACAAATGCTCATTTGACCAGTTTAAACTAGTCAATTTCTGGCAAGGAAATGTACCAATACCAGTATATCTAATGATTGATTTCCTTATTTCAGTTGAATTAAGTCTTTTAACCTCTGCTAGTATCTGTGCTTTCATTTTTGTGTTTTCCATTTATCTTATTTCATTCTTACTCTTATGAAAACTTTTAATAACCATACAAATACAGTACTACTGTATGAAGGGGACACAGCCCAAAGAAATTTGTTAACTGATAGGCAGAGCCATTATACAGTAGCCTAAATGTGCTCTGATGTAGGAAGTCTGTTTTTTCTACCAAATGTGCAGAAGTGTAGTTTGCGTAATTACTGCCTGTTTGTACATTGCACTTTCTGACTAGAAGGTGAGAGAATGGTTCAGGTTCAGGGTTCTGTGGTATGAAAGTAACACGTCTTCAGTCTCACAATGTATTCTTTTTTTTGGTTCTGAAAGCCTTACTGTGTGGTCTAATCAGGTTTTTTTTGTTGTTGTTGTTCTTCAGTCTGCTTTAGCACTTTGATGAACTAGGTAAGCAATAATACTTCTTGAAAGCAAAGTTATTTTCTACTGAAGTGAACATTTTAGTGCTGTGGTATATAGGCAGCCAGGACCTATTTTTTCACGTTGAAGGATTCAAATGAAATAAAATTTTTATGCAGACTCGGTTGCTAATACCCTGGTTGCGAGATGAGAATAGTAAACATCTGAGCAAAATCTTTGGTAAAGCAGAGTGGCACAAACTATCAGGGCGGATGAATGGTGGAACTTCTCTGAGATGAAGGTAGCTGATTGTTGGCTTTAGAAATGAGTTCACAAAATTGAAGCAGGTATAAAAAAGCTAAATGCTTTTCTCTTAACTTGGTAGTATATTCTTCCTACCTCTAGAAGAATGTTCCCTTTAAGGAAACAGAGACCCAAAGGAATTCAGTGAATTTCTCTAGACCACAAAGAAAAAAAAAGAGTGTGATATGGCCCTTGTGCCTCTCCATAAGAAAAAAAAATCTCATTTTGGT